GGAGGAGGAAGGAGCAAACAAGCAAATCTCGTGGAGTCCTGAACGTCATCGTAGGCCGTCCTACCCGAAAAGGACTCTGAGTGGGCTGCGTTCAGTCTGTTGTAGCACTGGCGCCCGCCGCGCGCTCCTCCAGTGGAGGCGCGAGGGGCACGCATCCCCTATTGGGCGCCACCCGCAGGGCGTGAGCCCTGTGCGCCGCTGTCCTGATGCGAAAAAAAAACAGCGCCGGACACTTTCCGCGAAAACGGCCGAAAACACAAAAATGGCGTAAAGTGTCCGGCCGGCCCTGGCGGTGGTGCGCGAGCGGCAGCCCGAGGGGCACACATCCACTATTGGGCGCCACCCGCAGGGCGTGAGCCCTGTGCGCCGCTGTCCTGACAAGACGGGCGAGAGGGGCGAGAGGGAGGTCTCCGAGCGGGGGGAATAGAAGCGATGGGGATCGACGGCAGTGCGGGATGTGCGTACGTGGCCACTGTCGGCCGCGTAGCTCGCTGCACCGTCTCCGCCGAGACAATCCCCCTGCGGACAAGATCCGCTAGGCGCTCACTGCTCCGCAAGTTGATGCGGTGGCTCAGCTCTTGAGGCCGTTCAGCTCGATGACCGTGCGGGCCAGTGGCCCCCTCGGGGCTGGGCCCGACGTCCGCTCGGCCTCCTGCGAGGCCATGATCTTCATGAGAAGCTCGTAGAGGTTCATGCCCGCCGTCGAGCACGTGTTCACCGCCCACTCGGAGTGGCCCGTGCGCTGGGCGCCCTCCTTCGGCTTGTGCAAGCGCACGCGGAAGACCCGCACTAAAAGGCCCAGCGTCTTCAGCGGCATCCCCTGGATCTCGCGGAGCGCCTTCATGACGTGGGTGTGAAGCTCCTTCTCTTCCTTGTCCTTCGTGAGAGCCACCGCCGCGACCATGAACGTCATGAAGATGTGCAGGTGCGGGCTGCCTCTGCCCTTCCAGTCCTGCTCCTCGCCCTTGGACTGCGCCGCCTTCATCACCTTGCTGTTGACGTTGTGCTCCTTGCCCGCGCGAGTCGACGCCTCCACGAGCTCGTTGTCCGCGTGCAGCACCGCGCGCTCGTAGACGGCCGACTTGAGCTCCTCCAGGTCGCGGTCCATCGTGACGATCAGCCGACCAATGGCGTTCACGAGCCTGGAGGTGTTGCCGCTGGAGCCCTTGCCCCCGCCTGAGGTCTTCTTGGCGCCCTTGTCCTTGTCCCCGTCCTCTGCCGCACCTTCGCCCTCCTCCGTGCGCCGCTTCTTGCGGCCCTTGAACCACGCTGGAAGGGGTAGTTCCTCGCTGCCCTGGGCGGGTGGCATCAATACTCTGCCGCTCTGCAGCCCGTGTGGATATGGAAACTGGCAGATGGTGCTGAACCAGATGGCTACAGAAACTGTCCAGATCGCCCAGTTCCGAATCACACAATCGGCAAGCGAAGGAAGCAGGTTGACGCACTGGAAGAAGCGTGCGGCCCCCTCCGCCAGGACAGGAGGAGGAGGAGGAGGAGGAGGAGGAGGAGGAGGAGGAAGGGCGCCAATCCAGCGTAAAACGGGAAGAAGTCTCGGGCGGGAGCGCTGGTGTTGTCGGGACGGGGGAGCATAATTCTCACCACACATTCCCTTCTGAGCTACGCACCCAAGGACAATGAATGACCGTTCGGCCCCCTCACTCTGATTATGGGGTGGATTTCTGCCCTGTACACCCGCGACCCACCCGCTGTCCACCCACGACCCAACAGCGACCCACCCGCGACCCATTTGCGACCCACCTGCGACACACCCGCGACCGACCCACATTGGTTTAACGAAAAAATCGGCTCCTGCGGCGAGCTCATTGCATAATTTGTGAAACTTTGGCGCTTGGCGGCGGGCTTCTCCAGAGACTCGCAAACTGCCGACGTCCCCACCGCCCCCTCACTCTTATCCGCATCTGCGGGGTGCTACGTAGTCAACAAATAAATCAGACACTGCTCAAAAATATTCAGAAAATCGCCACCATACTATTTCTTCAATATGTTCGCATATTCCTCCTGTAGAAGGACAGGCCCGACTTAACACTATTTTCGAAGATCCCTCCTGTAAAAGGACATGTCCGACTTATTTTTTGCACCGGCCTTGCAGACGTGCTGCAGCGGATTTCTGTGTGAATTTCTGCGTGGACGTTTGCCGGAAGCGGCGAACTAAAAACGAAGTGAATTTCGCTTGGATTCTTTTTGGTCCTCCTTCCTGGCCCCCAAACAAATTCCGCGCGAAATGCACCTCGAAATCCCGAACGAAATTCTCTCCAGGACACCCCGGGCCCACCCTGTCGTTTTCCGAATGACACCCGCTCTGCGATGTGGGCGCCCTGATTAGAGGCCTCATAGATGGGGTCCGAGTAGCTGGGGTCGGAGGATCGCGCCGCATCGCCGATACATCGGCGATGCATCGGCGATGCATCGATGATGCATCGGCGATGTCCATCGTCGATGTGAGCGACGCATCGGCAGCGTCGGCATGGAGAAACCAAGGCTCCACATCGAGCCGCATCGCCGATGCGTCGGCGATGCGGCGCGATCCTCCGACATCATCTACTCGGACCCCATCTAGGAGGCCTGGAGTTAGGTCGGGCGTGTCCCCCTACAGGCGGATGTTGGACGATACATGAAAAAATTCAAAAGTGGAAGAATCCTCAAAAATGATAGAAGAGTCGTGACTCTAAACAATGATCGAGAAGTCGTCCCCAGTCTAGTGTTTTACTACTTCTGAATATTCCTCCTGTGGAGGAACCGGCCCGACTCAAGCCTGGACCTCTCCTGGGGTGCGCTGTGCTCAGGATTTCGGGGCTGATCTGGCCGTGGCCACGATAAAGGGGCCCCAGGACACACAACTAAATACACACACATAAAGAGATTCCCCACATTTTCCCATATTGTTGGGTTTTGGTCTTCCCCCCCACTGCAAATGTTTTCCCGTATTTTCTGAGGAATCGACGATTCATTGTGTCTGTGTGTTTTTCCCCCCCCTGAACACTCGGGGAGCGAAGCTCGCCCCTCGAAGCTCGATCCCCCGAGGCCAAGGCACGTGCCCCACGCCAAGCCTTCCCTGGGCCGCCCGCCCTCCTGGCTCGGGCGAGCGGCCAGCCCCTCCTCCTCCTCCTCCTCCTCCTCCTCCTCCTCCTGCTCCTCCTCCTCCTCCTCCTCCTCTCCCTCCTCCTCCAACTCCTCCTCCTCCGCCTCCTCCTCATCCTCCTCTTCCTCCTCCTCTTCCTCCTCCTCTTCCTCCTCCTCTTCCTCCTCCTGGCGGGCCCGCCTGCCGCGGGCCCGCCACGGCCCGCGACGGCCACCACCACGCTCAGGAGGGGAGAAAACACACAGACACAACTCATCGTCGATTCCTCAGAAAAAAATATGGGAAAATATGGGCAGTGGGGGGAAGACCAAAACCCACAAGTATGGGGAAAATATCGGGAATCTTTTTATTTGTGTGTATCTATTTGTGTGTCCTGGGGCCCCTTTACACGCGGTCCACACCAGCCCCTCGATCCTCGCAGCGAGCCCGTCCTGGAGCCTCGTCGGCCTCCACTGCGGCCTCCGATCGCCGTTCGGGGCGATCCCGGAGCCCCCCCCCCCGAGAGACCTCGACGAGGCGCGGCCGCTGGAAGGTATCCCGCCCTCCTCCTGGCGCTGCCCCTGGCCAAGCATCGGGGGCGCGCAAACATGGGTTCGCGATCCATGGAGTAGGCGCGCGGTCGCCAAATCCATGGATCGGGGGAGCTGCCCCCCCCAGAATGCGGCCGGTGCCGCCTCGCTCGCTCCGCGATCCCCCAGGGAAACGGGGCCCGTCGCCAGTCCACGCCCCCTGAATCCATGTTTGCGATCGCCCGAGTCCTCCTCCTGGCAGGAGGAGGAGGAAGAGGAGGAGGGAGAAGGAGGAGGAGGAGGAGGAGGAGGAGGAGGAGGAGGAGGAGGAGGAGGAGGAGGAGGAGGAGGAGGAGGAGGAGGGGTCGAGAAGCTGCCCCTGGACCTCGCCTCGGGCGCGCTGTGCTCGGGCCTTCGGGGCGGACCCAGCCGCGGCCACGAGGGCGCCCTAGAGCGAGGAGCGGAAAAAGCCTCGGGCAGGCGAGGCTCGCACCTGGAGGCTCGATCTCCCCCCCCCCGAGGGCGGTCTGCCACGGCCACAGCGGCCACGACCACGACCACGACACTCTGGCCATCGCTCGGACGTCCATTCTCTGTGTTTTTGTCGGTTTCGTGCGTGGTCTTTTCGCCAAATGATGAAGGATGCTCCTCGATGGTCCTCGCCGAAGGAAAAATGCACACGTCCGAGCGATGCCAAGCACTGGGAGCAGAGGCGCACCCGGGGGACGGCCCCCCGCCCCACTCCACCAGCGGGTGCTGTCGCCGCCCGAGGAGGTGCCAGCTGCGGCACGCCTGGTCTGGTGAGCCCGCTCCGCTCCAGCTCTGCTCGCCCGGGGCCTCGGGGCCCGGCCACCGAGCAGCTCTGCTCGCCCGGGGCCCTGGCTCTGTCCAGAACGATGGCCACGACCACGACGGCCAAGACCACCGCCGCCACCACGGCGGCTGGGCGTCGCTATTCCAGCCCCCCCCCGTCCCCCTGGGCGTGGCCTGGGCCCCGCTGGCCGATCTGCCCCACTAGATGGGGCTGTGGGCCGCTTCCTGCGGCTCTCGAGGCGTAGATCCCCCCCTGGGGTGCTGAGATGGTGGGGGCCTGGACGGGGATGGAGATGGGGATGGGGTCCAGAGAACCGATCCCGCGCGACGACCACAGCGACGACCACGACGACTCCCCAAACACCTGGCGCCCCGCTTTTCTCGAACCACGGGCCCCCGACCTCTCGACCACTTCCCTGGGACAGGCATCCCGTCCCGGACTGCTTTCTGACGCTCCCGAGGCCCCGTGCGAGCCTCGAGAGGGCGAAAAAGCGCTAAAACATCTTCGTCCCGACTTTTTCGGGACGCCCGATGCCTGGGACGACCACGACGACTCTCGGCCCCCCCCCGAGGGCGGCCTGACACCAGGCCGCCCGGCTGGCCCGTCTTCCGCTCGCGCTCGTCGCGCCCGCCGCGCCCGCGGCCGCGGCCCCTGCCAGCGCCCCTGCCGCCGCCGCGGCCGCCTGCCACGGCTCCGCCGCGGATCGTCGTCGTCGTCGTAGTCGCAGCCGTCGACGTCGGGACAAGCCCTGTACACCACGCAGGACGGCCGGCAAAGAGTGACGTGCTCAGTTTACAGAGCGCGCATGTCATTACCCCAACTCCACCAGACAGCGTGCACGCCGCATTCAACAGATCACGATATTCCACCACGCGGACATTACCAAATGGAAATGCGCGCGCATGCGCCCCGGTCTGGGGTGTCTCGTGGCCCCGCTACGTTACAACACGGTCGGATGACATGACGGAAACTATGGATACTGCCACCTGCGTCAAAACCATGAGTAGCAAAAACGACACGCCAATGTGGAATTCGCCGGCCCAACGGGCCAGGGCGTGCTAAGATCTCCGGTACCTGGTTAACAGTATTTCTAGTTCGCGCGCGCGGGGCGGCCCCTGGGGGACGAAAAGTACCCCGGCAAGGTCCCGGCAAGTCCCCGGCAAGGTCCCGGCAAGGTCGGGCCAGAGATGCCGGAGCCCTGTTACAGGGCCCCAGGACGGGCCAAGAGGTCCCCAAGAAGCCTCCAAGACGGTCCAAGAGGG